TGTTTGTACCATATCTGATCCTCCACTCATCCATTGACACGTGGATCGCTTAAACTCCCCAAATGCCCAAAGGCTCCGAACAATTGGCATCGGCTACCGATGATATTGTCTCAAAGCAGCAAAAGATCGCCACAGGCCCAACACAGCCTACAATCGGTATCCCTTACCGATTCTGCAGAATCAACCTCGAAGCACCCGCCCGAAATATCTAAGGGCTCGTGTCAACCTCATAGGGCCCTCCCACGAGTCCCACATCGAAATTAAGTACTAAGAGCATACGACATGCCCTCTATAAATAGGCCCCTCCACTACAATACAGGAGTAAGACTTTTCAGCTTGACTTTTATACTTTTATATGGTCAACAGCAAAAGCTCTTAGAAACAAACTTACTTTGGCATCAGAGGGTCTTAGACTGGTTCCACACCGGTTCCATAGACCTCACGAGTCTCAACTCTCTTCTATTCAGGATCTGCATCCAAGGACAAGAAGAATCTTCATCTATCATTCAATCGATCTGCTAGATCGTCCTCACCACTTGTAAGTTGCACTCATCTCTATCTGTTCAGTTTTAGTGCCAACAAATTTAAAACTGGTCATATGGCTGTGAGTTTCCTGCTTCAAACTGGTCTTAATTTTCTATTAAAATAACAAATTAATTAATTAAATGTAGTCATATTTGTTTTTGTTTTTGTGGTTGCAGCATCTGTCAACTCTACAGATAACGAACCCTGCATTTCGAATGGGTCAGGCATTTCTACAGTATCTTTTGCCAGAATTTATGACTTGGCTGATAGCAGGGCACGGGTAAAGGAATACACAGAAAATATTTCAGTTCATTTTCTCATTGTCCACTTTTATCAGCATCGCTCATGTTCTTCTTCCTGTTGCAGGTTAAGTCTCAAATCTCAAAGAGAGAGAGAGAGAGAGAGAGAGAGAGAGAGAAAGGGAAGCAAAACAAACTTAGATGACTTCTCTGTTAGAATTGAAGTTGATAACCTTCCTACTTAAATCAACTTCTCTGTTATATGTAATATTATCGGGTATTCCGGCTTGTAGAACAGACGATAGAAACAGTGATTGCATAAAAAATCCTTCCTAATAGTATACATATGAAATATATCCACAGAAAGAGAAAAAAAAACAATGGGAATACAATTACAATCTGCCTAATTCTTGTTTAATTTCTAAACCATGTGCCAATTAATTTAATTTACCTTCTAGAGCGTTTTCTAGGCCTCCTAGAAGCCTCCTGCTTCCCCCCATTTTCCCTGGGCCGCTTTGATGAAGTTACTACATTCGCCGTCTCGGAAGCCGCCTTCTTGGGCGGCCTTCCTACACTTCGCTTGGATGGACTGCTGCTTTCTTCCTTGGCCTGCTTCTTTTTATCACCGCCACTTTGCCTTAACACCCTTTCTTTGACTTTGTCGACCTTACCATCTCCCCTCCTCTTATGCTCTCCTCCACCTGATCTAGTACTAGTGCCACTTCCACTGCCACTGCCGCCCTTCAATGTGTCCGCCGCAGGTGCATTTCGCTTAATTCTCTTCAAGAAATCCGCTGCTGCACTTCGCTTTTTGTCCAACGCCGCTGCCTCCGTTTTTGACTTCTTATCCGCTTTCGGAGTTTCCGTTTGTTTCTTGGTGGAACCACTTCCATCCTTATTATTGTTATTCTCGTGATGAGTCCTTCTTGAGCTTCTGGTTCCAGTAGTTACAGGATTGTCTTTTGCTTTAGCGCCACCACCACCACCTTTATGCCCTTCCACAACATCATCATTTGAAGAGGCCTTGTTATTGTTAATGGGCGTTTTAACATCAAAAGGTGCCGCTTTCTTTTTCTCGTCACCTTGTTGTTGTTGTTTTGGTTGCTGCTGCTCACCCTTTGGTTTAACATCAAAGATAGAAGCAGCAGCAGAAGGCTTGGATGAAATGGAGCTTCGTTTCCGGCAGACGATGATGGGCGCAGTTGACTTGTGCTTGGCAAGCAAAGAGTCTGATCTTTCAAGCTGATCAGGACGTTTGGGAGGTTGCGTTGGAGGAGGACAAGGTGGAGTTGTGGTGGGTGGTGGTGCATGTACAGCAGCAGCAGGCAATGAGTCTGATGGCTCAGATGAAGGTGAAGGGTTGGGGGGTGGTCTAGTAATTAGATTATTCTTCTTCATTTCGTTTAAGACAAGGCGTCGAAGTTGGTGAGCAGTCAGCGACTCCAGAGAGGATTTGGGGAAGAAAACGACGGCGTTGTTGAAGAGGAGCAGCAGGTCTCGGTAGAATGAAAGAGCGCAAGACGAATATGTGTCCTTGTGGAGCTTGCTTTGTATTGTTTCCAAGTCCACATGCTGCTGGACCATGCTCTTGTACTTGTCACTTTCCTGTACATGCAGCCACATCATCATCAAGCTTCGCTTTCGTTTTAAAATTTTCATGGTCACTAAAAATCTTCTAGTTAAATTATTACAAACAAAAATAAAAATTAGTGACAGAAACTGAGAAACACAAAATCCATGCATGTTCTACAACAGTCCAAACTTATATAGTGACTTTTGGTATACATAAATTTGACAGAATAGATTTATCTCAAACAATAATACTATTTGTATCACATTTATCGATCATATTGCTAACCATCGTTTTAATAAAAGACGACCCACCAATGTGTATGGGATTCACCTGTAATAGAAAAGTTGTCAACACCCAAATGTTTTGATTTGGACATTGAAGCAGGTCTCAACAAACAAAAACAAGGGCCCATTCTATACGGAAACTGCTATTGTGGTATCACAAATTCACAATCCACCTCAGACCCAAAAAGAAACAGTACCCAACCCATCCACCGTATGGGCCTATGTAAGACCTCGGAGGGCCCATATTGCAATATAAAAAATTAAATGAAAATAAATGAAAGGGACACAGTATTTCTCTGGCATACATACGAAAAAGTATATAGCAACAAAAGAATATGCTAAGATTAAAAGAATTAGAAAACAATCTGAATGAAAAGAGGTGAGATGCGAGCCTCATGGGGTCCATCCATGGTGGTCGCATTTGTATGACACGTTTTGTTTTATAAATTTGTAAATTGAGTAGAAGGCTCCACGACCCTTACGGATCTTACGCTATAAGCAAAAGTACAAACCTTTTTTCTTTTCTTGGATTTTATACCAAATATCTTTAAGTCAATAGTAAAATTACTGTTTGTTTTTTAAAACAAAAACAAAAAACTGTATTTGAATTTGTCAACGCATGTTAAACACCAACACAAATCCTAGAATTTTGAATTGCAACCGATCTGACATATATATATTCATAAAAGTGATATTTTATTTTAATTTTATTTAAATTACGGAAAAAAGAATTTGAATTCGGATACAGAATAAGGAGTACATCCCTCTAACCAACTTGGCTAAGCCAATGTATGCCTATTTTATTTGTTCATATTACAACAATCCTGACCATCATTTATTTTCAACAACAGACCTACATGACAGATTCAATGCTGCATCATTTAGTAATTAAAACTTCAAAAATTAGGTGGCTCTAACATTATTGTTTATGAAATTCCAACACACCATATATGTGATATAACTAACACTACCAATATTTATGTATAACCTTTTTCTTTAATTTAGCAAAACTTACATTTTATCCGTATGTGGGATGCGGGCATAAATTTATATCATCCTTATCATTCCTTAGATTTAAATTCAACTTAACCATTGATATTTAAATTTTGGGTAAAATATTTTATTTAGAATCATACTAGAAAGACCACATTTTATATACCACCTCTCTAATATTGCATTTTATATACCACCTCTCTAATATCGCTATCGTCAAACAAAATTCAAGGGTAAATTGAAGATTGTATATCTAAAAAAATGTAGCGGTAGTAAATTCCACCAATAGAGTTAGAGAATTGCATGCAAAATCCTAGACCCTAGGAGCAGGAGATAGATATTTATTCCCCATTGGAGAGAAGTCAGTAATTTCAGCCGCATGCGTATTTTTCATCTTACTACTTAAAACCAACAAAAAGTTGAAAACCATTTTGGAGTGGTCCCAAATTATTGGAAACATCATGACCACTAGTTTGCCTCATACAAGTCCGGTTTTAACCAAAAAAGGAAAAACCATGGCCAAATTATATACACAAACTTTTAAAATAAAATTGTTAATGAAAATTTAATTTGGTATTTTAAATTTGGTTTGGTGCATGCATGTTTCGCAGTGTTTGGATTCGAATAAAATAAGAATTTAAAAATAAAAAGGAAAAGAAGATATGGAATTAAGAAAATAATCAAATTGTAAAATAAGTAAAATACCTGCGTGGGTAGCCGTCGCTCGAACAATGAGCTATGCTCGTGCGCTCGGATCATCTGCAGGACCCCAACCAACGGCTGTGATTTCACCAACAATAACTCTTCGTTGTTACGCTGCTGTTCTGGCACCTCCACTCTGCGACGTCGTTTCCTGTTCCATTTCCTCGTCAAGCTCGCCGAACTCTGCGCCTCACTGCTCTCCCTCATCTCACCCGCCGAGTCACCACCGCCTTTCCCTTCGCGGCTCCGCCTCTTAGCCACCGTCTCCGAGCTCCCTTTATCCGACTCTGACTCGGAGTGTCCACCGCCCCCCGTCCCTTTCGTCGGTTCGTGCGAACCGTCCGGAACCGGGTGCGGTTCGGGTTCCGAGGCGACGCGGCCTTCCTGGCCTGGCTTATTGTCCAGACTTTTGGAGCAGGTTGAATTGGAGCCGTTCACCGACTGGTTCTCTTGGTCCGGTTTGGACCGGTCCGGTTCGTCTTGAATATTTTTGTCGTTTTCTGATCTGTGTCCCTTGGAGTCCTCCTCCTCCAGATCTGGCTTGGCCTCGTCATCCTTGGAGCTATCTTCTCGTTCTTCCTCCAGCCTCTTCACCTTCAACTGCAACGACCTGAGAATTAATTAAGACAACCAACTCAGATCTAAAATTTTAAACGAAAATTTTTCCAAAAACAAAAAAAAATATAAAAAGAATATAAAAAGATATAAAGAATTACACGATGGAGACGTCGTAGCTATTGAGCTCTTGACGGAGTTGAGCGACGCGGAGTTTGCGGAGGTCGTCGAGCCAGGGAATACTAGGAGGATCGTCGTGGTGGTCTGGTGGTGGCGGGGGGGAGGGGAGGGCAACGTCGTCGTTTTGATGTTGGGAGGAGTAGCGGGATTTGAAACGGCGGCGGAGGTCGTGATACTTGAGCTTGCAGTTGTAGGGGGTGGTGAGGAGGTGAGGGAGAGAGGTCTTGGCTTGGAGTTCCATGGCGACGCTGTTCCAGTCGTTGATGCCGTGACGCTTCACGGCGCATGCTAACAAGAGCTCCTCCCATGTCCCCCAGGAAGACGTGAACGTCGTCGTTTGGTCTTGTAATTCTGGTTCACTATTGTTGCTGTTATTATTATTATTAGTATGAGTAGTAGTAGCATCGTGATTAGCAGTGCCGCCTTCCATCATGACGACGAGGATACCTCTCTCTCTCTCTCTCTCTCTCTAAGTCTGGATTGGAGTTTGTGTTTGCGTCTGGTTTTTATATCATCATATCATATATATTGTTCAATCTCAATATATATTTCATTCTCATCCCTCCATTTTGTGCTTTCAAATATTAGTACCGTCTTTTTTATTTTTTTATTTTTCCAAATTTTTATTTTGTCTTTGGTTTTTGGGTTTAATGAATTAAAATAAACACCTAACGTACTAAAACAAAACAGATTTTTGTAATTGTTGTTATTATTCTTGGATTGGGTGGATGGGTACCTTTCTTTTCTTTTCTTCTCTTTTCTTTTGTTGTGTTTATGTTATGCATATATATATATATATATATATATAATATGTAAATGTAGTGGGGTGGGGCCTACTACCTCCCTAAAGGCTAAAGCTATGAGGAAGGTGATCTCGAGCACGCAAATAGAAATAGAAATAGAAATAGAAATTGGGTAAACGTTAATTAACCATGTTATCCCTATTCAAATAATATTCA